GAAGCTTTCTGTTGGCAACAGTAGGATGTGTAATTTGATATATGCGTTTTTATCTGGATATAGGAGTGTTTTCTTTTGCTTTGAAGGTCAAATTAGCATCTTTGGGCAGAGACAAGTAAAATGAGTATTCTCTACCTGCTATGCAGAAGATTTTTTCTTCTAGCAATAAGGTTTTGATCTAGTCAAATAGCACCTGGATTTCTGCCTGGCTGTATTTGGGATGATGACGGTTCAGGATTGCCAAAAATGCAGCCTGCCATCAGTCTCTACAATTTTTTGGTGGTGTGCTATATAGTAATTTTCCCTGAGAGCTTTTGGTGTTCCATGTGGTGATGAGTTATTATGATGATATCTTTTAACTGGAGAAAACACAAATAAATTGTAACTTGAGAAAATTTATTAACAAACATAATTCTTCTATTATATTTAATTTATACATTTTTACTGGTTTCATGGTTTCATCTAGTATTTTCCACTTACGGTTTCCCTAAACCTTTTGTATAAGCTGACTTTTTTACCATTTCTTTTTAGGTATCTGCTTGTGGGGGCATGACAAAAATAGCCATAAAAAGTGTGGCCACTGATCCTGAATTCAGATTTTTCAAAAACCAAATCTAGAGGGTTGTGATTGGCAGATCAGACTACAGGCAGAAAGCAGCCCAGAAAGATTTTTGATTTTTTTAATCCGTTTTATTTGTTTGTTTTCAAAGTGGTTTCCAAGCACTTGACAATGTAATACGTTCGGAGACCAGAAAACTCAGAAGTAGAACAGAGCTTTGGAGAACTTCTATGCCTAAAGAACTCAGCTGTTGAAATGACAACTGACTAGGAAAATACTTTTTTTTTTTTTTCCTTTAAAGAGAATTGAGCATTTGGTCAGCTATGCTTTAAAAAAAGATATGCAGACCCAGTTAAGCCAAGAAATACATGATATGAAACACAGTCAGTAGGAGAGATACCAGTTACCTTCTGGTTTTCCCTTTGAGAGGTTAAGCCTAAAGAGACTGGTAGTGTCTTAGCATGCCACTGTCACACAGCGGGTGCTGCCCTCATTTTCTCAGCTTGTCAGAGAACCTTTAACCTTCTTTACAGCTGACAAATTTTGAAGGAAAGCTGTCCACAGATATTTTCCCAGGCACACATTACTGACTTGAAGTACTTTTATTCTCTTATCTATCTTATCACCAGTAGGTGCACTGTATGCAGCAAAACATCTTTAAATGTCATCTAAAAGTCCACTGAGCTATTTTAAACAAGGGCCACCATCCATTGGCTTCAGTGATTAAGAGACTGAATGTAATTGTTCCATTGTTAGCATCTGCATAAAAAGCAGTTTAAAATGGCTTCTTTCTGACCACAGACACAAGGGTAATTTCTCTCCACAACGTAAAGCCCTGAGCAGAAGTCAAGACATCTCCATATAATGTAGCTGTCAACAGTTATTGTGGAATCCTGGTTTTAGCAGTGACTCTTAAATATGGGCAGTTATATACTGAAGCCTGTCATGCCTGTGCTGTTGGTGTGGCAAGAATTTGCATGTGAATACTTTTTGGATACACACATGATGTTATTTATTAGCATAGGTTTATGGGAGGCTTTTTCCTTATTTTAAAATTTCAAAAATGAAACAGCTTTTCAGTCAAGGCCTTTAAGATGAATTTGCTCTGCAAATGTACTCATGCTAGGTTAGGAGGTTTGCAGTTCATTTGAGGATGAGATTGGAGTCTGAAGTACTAGATAAACAGCTACGTGGCAGCTTTATACAGTAGTATCCGGGGCTGGATCGTACACTGAAATTGACTCACCAAGGTCTGAATGTTGAGAGAAAAGCAAATATGGCATGGGCTGTTGAAACACATACTACACATAGGTTTGCCTTAGAAAAGTTCTTTCATTGTGCTTGACAATGCTCAGGCCTCAGGGCAGAAATATTTCAAAGCTGAGGATACAGCAGATTTGGTCCACAGAGAAATATTTGTTCCAGGAATGATCAGAAATCTAGAAACTGAGACTAGGAAATGGTGGAAAAAACAATAGGAGTTTTAAAGGGAGGAGCCAGTAGAGAACCAGTGTCAATTATCTTCTGTGTAAGAGGCTGATGCAAGGTAGAAGATAAACTGTTCTTTGTCTGCTGGAGATAGGACAAAGTAATGTGCTTAGAATGGAGCAAGAGGCAGGTGTGTAGCACATTGGGAGCACTAATGATTCTGCTGGTGAAGTGACACGAATAGGTTGCCCAAGGAGATGAGATTGGTATGGGATGTGCTATTGCTGATGTTTTTTAAGGTGGATGTCTGTTAAAAATGGTCTGGTTGGCAGTTGCTCTTTCTGGTGGAAAGAATGAGCTGACTTCCTTAAATCTCATCTTTTGAAAATAAAGGTTTACAATGTAAAGACATTTACACTTAGTAGCAACTGCTCCTGTTGCACTCCAGCCAGCCGTGGTCAAGGTTTTACCTTCTGGCAACACTGAGCTCTCATGTCCCGAATAAGTATCTCTGAGTCTTATACTGTCCTATCCAATCCATCTTAAGCGTACATCTGCCTGGAGGATAACGCATTTCATATCTCTCCAGGGTAAGGAAAAAAACCTCCATGCCTTGCTTGAATTAGTCTTGAACTGATGGAAGGCAGCTTTCAAGCAAAGAAAGTGAACTTCCTATTTTTAAATTACTTCAATTATTTTGTAACTTTATAATTAAAACAAGCCTATAAATGGGGATTTTTTTCTCCTGACTAATGACATTTAATTATGTGACAAGAGGCTTCAACTTGCCAGCTTTTCAGCAAGCTATAAAATGTGTACGAGAAGACAAGAGCCAGGGAGTGTATGCTTCTTACGAAAGACTGTGGTTTACAAGACACTCATCATGCTCTGCGTGAAAGTACATATGTTCCCCTCGATGCCTAACTCTGAAACAGAAATTAAAACTGTGCTTGAGTTAGGAAAATTTGGTATGACTCGAATTTCTTGTAATTCACTGCTGTGATGTTACTCTTGAAAATTCTGCAGCAGAGGGACTACTCAGTAAACTATGTATTGAAAGATTGTGCAGAAAAGGAGGAGATTTTTCTTGAGCCACACACACGTGTAGCTGCTGAATCTGCCTCATAAACCTGGCATGACCAAACAGGTTTTGCACAATGCTGTACAGATAATGTGTTTAGAAAGTGAGAGGCTTGGGGTTTAATTAACTTCACAATGCAGTTTTCCGTCCTTCAGGTGACATCAATGCTTTCCCTTTTTTTTTTTGTTCTTTTCTTGGCTTCTGCTAGCTGGTAGGGGACTGTCAGCTGATTTTGATGTAAAACTTGAAACTTTTATTTCGAGCTTTTCTGCAAACTAGAAATGCCTTTGAAGAAGTTTTCACAAACAGATAAAATTTAGATGTACATGTAAATCACTCATTTTATTCATATAACTCCCAGGTCTGTCTGAGTGCTCTTCATGGTCTTGATGACGTGAGAGGTTTGTGAGCAAAGTTTAAACCTGTAGATAAGACCCCATATTTTCATTAGTAACATGGATAACTACAATATGAAGACCCTGAGCGACACCGAAGTGCAGCAGGGGACTTCTGACACAGCGATTATTAGATTTTGTGTGCTGTAAGGTTCTTGATTCATCTTTACCTAAACATGGATTTGTTAAACTTCACACTTGATTTGGCCTGTAAATTGCACAGCACGGGGCATTCTCAGCTGTCCCCTGAGGGAGAATTCCTTAAAAAAGAAAAAAAAAAAGTACGGTTGTATTGTAGGGATCAAGGAGCATACTCTTGGTGGTGTGGAGGGCTTCAGTGAAGAGAGGTTTCTTTTAAAATTACAGAGGCTTTTAGGCAAAATATGTTATTCTGACAATGATGTACATCTAGTTTTGGAAGAGTTACGAGCCTTTCCACTTGAGATTTTTAAAAGAAGTACCCTGGACAAAATACGAGTTTTAGAAAACTGCTGTGTAGGAGAGGCTGATTCAGCTATGTTCTTACATGAAAATGTCCCAGCTCCTGGTGTTGGTCGCTGAGAGAAGACCCCTTGCTACCTGGGAGTTACGGTCTCTGGGAGGGTGCTCAAGTCTTCAGAGATTTCAGGTATCAGGGAAACAATGCATCAGGGATTGGGTACGCTTTAGGATAAGCTTTCCTGCAGTTTTCTTTTTGAGAACAAAATCTGATGGTGGCTGATGTGTGGGTGGAATTGAATGTGTTTCATAGATCCGACTGAACAGTTGAACTTCTCTTTGGAAAACACACGGCCTATTAATCTTCAGAGAACACATTAAATGTAATATTCTAGATAATTTTTACGTTAAGGTCAGCATTTACAGCAACAGGTATCTTTTGGTATAGAAATTGCTCCATTTTTTTCCCTTTTTTTTTACTCCAGACTTTATTCACACTGGATTGAACCAGTGATCCTGAGTAATCAGATCTAGTTCTGCAGTATCTCAGGCATCCCATAGCTTTGAACAGCAGCAGTATGAAAAGTGAGCAGAGGGGAGAGCAATACAGATGGGTTTTCCTGTCCCCTTAAACCTGTATCCAAAATAGGGGACATTTCCATTCATGGTATGCAAGACCCGTTGCAAATGTGATATTTCATCTAGGCTGAAGAGGCCTTTTCTAGGGGAATACCCTGCCGTGTCTATTCTGTTCTGGCTTCGGATAGTCCCAAAGGAGGCCTGTGGACAGTTCAGTTTTACATGTCTGTGATTCTTTAGGTTATGTTTGAAAAGCCTCGCTGAAAACGTGTGCATCAAGGAGTGGTTGGGACAGTGAAAAGGTCTGCTTGCGAGACAATGAAGAGAAGGGTGTTACTATGCCTGGGACCAGCACTGAAGAAGAAAAGTAGGTGGAACAAGAAGTGGCATTTGTGGAGTACCAGCTCTGGAATTTCAGGGTTTCTTTGTTTTTGTTTTTAATTTTAGAACTGACCAGCTTGCTGGAAGATGACGTTTATTCCTGCTTAAAACTGCTGTTCTGAAAACAAACAGTAGAAGAATGTGGAAGAATTCAAGGCTCCGTTGCCTTTTAGCACTAGCTATTTTATGTTTAAGAAGCTTAATATATTGCCAAGAGATCGGTGAGTTTATTGCCATGTGGTTCACTAGTTACTTTGTAGCTTCTATACTGACACCATTTAATTACATTGCTGTACTACTATATGTATTTTCAAAAACTGTCACCTCTGTGGTCCAACACCATCCTAGGGATGGAGTTACTACCAGGCCTGGTCTCTGATTTCCAGCAACCATTGGCATCTTGCAAGCCAGTGCAAAACTGGGTGTTAAATTCTCCATAACACAACTGTGATAGTCTGCATATGCAGTTGGTGTAAAGGTCAGCATTGAGACCTGCTTGCTGTCAGCTGTCTGCAACAGTTTCACACATTATCATTAATTGCCCTTCTGTCATTAATTGCCCTCCATGTGGGACAACGAAGGAGAGCAAAAAACTCATTAAGTTTATCATCAAAGCTTGCGGTTTTGCCTTTGGCGCAAAGCCCGCCTATTAGGCTAGGCTAGAAATGGGTGTTGTGGAAAGAAACAGCTGCTTGTGCCATTGCACACAAGTTTAAACTGAGATTTTAGGTCCTTCTAGAAATCTGGTAGTCTGTAGCTGTCTGCAAATCATTCAATGGTTTTAAAATACTGGCCAGACATGTATGCAATAAAAATGTAGAAAGAATGGCTATAGATGTGAACAATAGCAGTTGGTTTACAGTTGATCATTTTTGACCTGTAGTTTGTGACTGTATCTTGTATGATTTCAGGTTCTCTGGGGCACCTCCAGAATTTGAAATGTGTAACGCACAATTTACGTAAAATGATCTGTACTTGGGATGTCTTTTCTAAAAGAAGACATGGACAAACTGACTTCTGCTACACTACGAAGTAAGTCCCCTGTATACCTGGTTGGAAACTACCGAACTGTGATGAAAGTATAATTATTCCTCAGTCACTGCCCATGGAATTTGTGATGCTATTGTTTCCCAGCATCTCCCCATCAGTTTTCCTTGGGTGGTGCTCCCTCCAGCACTGTTAACTCGGGCAATGGCAGGGTTTCTGGCAAAGTCTTGTTTCATGCTAACAATTCTCCTGCCAAAATCTCCTGCTTGCCTCTTCAAAGGGCTGGAAGATGCTCTCGTTTACTCAGACTTCTGTGTGTGTCCGCCTAGCCTTTGCTCAGAGTTTTCATGAGGGACATCTTCATACCAGGTTCAATCCAAAAGGAAATGATAGTTGGAATAAGTGAATCCTGATGTTATGGGCCAAAGCAGTAGAATATATGACATAAGTGTTGAGATTCACATGTGGAAAAACATGAAATATCTCTTGGTGGCTGTCATACAGCCTTTATAATTTTTAAGCTGTCTTGAGAGCATTGTATGAGAGGAAACGTAAAATCTATTCCACAATTACAATAGCTTTCCGAAAGTGAATGTGAGTTGAAAATTTTGAGAAACATTAGAAAAACTTCAGTCCTCAGTGTGTTTTTCACTAATGAGAACTACATGTGCAATTCCCCATGCTGTGGGTCTGCCAAATACTTATCATGTGCTAGGGATGAGTTCAAATCCTTTTTGCATCTTGATCCTCCCCCCAGTCCAGATATTTGTACTGTCTTTTTTCCTGTAAATTCTGCAGACAGTCCAGGCTCGTCCTTGGGGTCCCAGGGCTTGGCTGCACTTCTTCCACCTACATGTTTGACTTTCCGTATCTAGTTATTCCTCCTGCATTGCCAGCTATCGTTTCTATACAGAAAACCCACATCTATGTGACATTGCAGCCAGAGTTCAGGGGTGTAGAGTTCATGAGGTACTGCCCTCTAAACAAGAACAGTCATGTAGCTGCTGCTGTTTCTGCTTAGCAAAGCAGAACAGGCTTGGGTCTCTGAAGCAGAGAGTCTGAGGGCTGAGTTTAGTACAGACCTCCTCGAGGGAAAG